CAAGAAGGGCTTAAAGAAGCTCTTCAGTATGGGCAGCAGAAGGAACCATGAGGCAAAGCTCAATGGGAAAGGGAGCTGCAGTGAAAGGCAGCGGAGACATTAAAGCAGCAACAGCACTGAAGTGTTGCTGTGAGGAACCATCAGGAGAAGGAGCAGAACCTAGGCAGGCACATAGGGCAGAGAAGGGCAGGAGTGACAGCAGCTTTCAAGGCTGGAGAGAAATTATTACAGGGGTATGACAGGAAAAACTAAGTCAGGGAAGGGAAGTGCAAAGTTGAGTTGAAAGCAGGTGAGTGGAGGATCAGGTCCAGACAAAGCAACTTCTTCCACCCAAGGGGAAGAGTGAGGAAGAAAGCGTTGCTAGCTGGAAGCCAGTGGAGAGGTATCAAACCCTGTCCTATCGAGAGCCTGATATGCAAGACCCCCAGGAAAGCAAGGAGCTACTGCTGCCCCCGGGTCTGGGAGAGCTCCTCTGAGGACAAGCAGGGGAAGGTGAGCAGCATGGTGCTGCTCCAGCTCTCACAGGTTCTCGGTGGTGTTAAAGAGCAGCAGGGAACTGAGGGAGCTGATGTTCCGGGGGAGGCTGCCAAGGCCTTCTTCTGCATCATCCTCCTGGTGAATTTTGGTGCTCACGCACACAGGGAAATACTTGAGCTTCTCCTGCAAGAAGACAAACAACAGGTAGCAAGGCACTAAAATCACAGCTGCTGAAACAGCTCTCCCCAGCCACCACAACCCACATTGCTGGATCCACTGCATGGCCTGGGAACCCTACTGCTCCCTCTCTACCTCCCTTTGAGCAAGGAAGCACATGGACGACATTGCAACCTCACACTCATGACAAATCTCAGCAGTTTGGACTCACGACATGTGCTTCTGGTGCCATGGATGGGTCACGTTCAACAGGTGCTGCTGGGGCAAGGATCCACCAGAATAAAACAACCACTCAGGCTCTAAAGCCAGAGACAGTGATCAAGCACTGCAGTCAAAAAGGCATTTGTTATAGTGTCTCCAACTACCAGACATTTTCATGCAGGCAGAGTCCCCCAAACATCTCTATTACCTCCCCTCTGCTGCCTTCAGTTGATGTTTTAAGTGATGTGATCCCACCGGTGGGGTATGCAGGGAAGGCAAAGGAAAAAGAGGTTAGGAAAAAACAGAGTGCCTGCACTAGGCAAGAGATCAGGCAGAAGGGAGTGCGCAGGGTAGAACGTGTGCCAGATGGTTTTGCAAAGCCTGAGGGATTTGCAGGAGTTTTCAACTCTAATGAACTGAAATCTCCTCTCTCTCGGTTCTAAAACTTCATGCATAATATATAGAGCTCCCTTTAGAAAAGGACTTATTACATCTGAACTGCCTGACTTTTATAGAGCACAGGAACTGCCATCCCAGATCAGACCAGTGTTTCAGCTAGCGTGACAGCGCCCGCTGCCAGATGCTCTGGGGGATGAACCTCAGTGCCCACAGCAAGCTTTGCTGTAGAGAGAGGAAAGGCATCTGTTTCTGAACCCAGAGACAGCCCGGGATGGATGAACCTCGACCCCAGACCCCTCCCCACACTCTTCCTCAGCCCCTTCACAACTCCTGTTCCTTCTTCACGAACTAGGAAAATCAGTGGCCTGGCAGCTGCAAGGTGGTAAGTGTTCATACCAGAAGAAAGCAGAGCATTAACCAGGACAGTTTGTCAGATTAAATAATTGGCCACACTCTTGAGGTCGTCTTCTATCACCAGAAGATGACCACTTCAAATACTGTCCACAGCTTCCTACTGCCTCACTACTTGCAGCATCCCTGCTCTGTCCCATTCTCTGAGTCCTTCTTCCCTCCTTGTACTTGTATGGGGGAAATGGGAGACCACTGTTGGTTCAGTTTTAAGACCACACCTCAGCAACATAAGCAGTTTCTGCTGATTGAAATTTCAGGCTTGAATTTGGTAGCCAGAAATCCTCAGAAATGGCTTAGTCACAGCTCAGTTAATCGACTAAGAGTTTGTATGATGTTCTGAGTCTATAAAATGCTATAACAAAAGACCTGGGAGGTTTTGATTTAATTTTTTCCCCCCAAATAACATGTTCCAACTTGTGAAAAACACACTGAAATAAACATCTTGAATTTTTACAGAAGCAAGTAAGCAAAAATATATAAATTGTTATTTAGAGACTGCAGAAGCAGAGCTTCAAAAATAAAGGTCCTTTTGATCATTAATATTCATTTCCCAATGTTTAATTTTTTAAGCATGAGGGAGTACTGACATTTTTTGCTAGAACTGTTCACACATACTTAGCCCTCAAGTCATATATATATTTTTTTAATTCTCTCTTTGTAGATTTCAATTAGCACTGGAAGACTGTGCGTCACTTTAAGGGCGTAGCGAGAAACCAACCATTACCTACATTTACTTATAAGTCACATCTAAGGCAGTTATAAAAGCACTAAGCATGAGTATTACTCTGAAACGTGAGGCTCTACATAATCCTTTTAATTTAAATGCCACCAAAGTGCTAGTCTTATTCAAGTACCTAGATCTGTTTTGAAATTTAGAACAGCTATATACCATCAATAATATCCTGCAACTGTGAATTCCACAAGTTAACATGCCATTTAAAAATTAGTTTTCTTATAGGGACATTAAGGCCTTAAGCCAAAGGTTCAGCAACCTCGACATACTGAAGTCACGGGGAGCGCCTGAATGCTCAAACACCCCAACCTGGGGTTTGGCACCTGGCAGGATCACACCCGTAAGGACACTGCATTTCCAAGCATTTTTCTCCCTAAAAGCCTACAGTTAAAAATATGTAAAGTCACCCTGCTTCTTAAGTTTAATTAAGCACACACTATTACAAAGGGAATTGGTGTGATGATACGCCAAAAACCCCCTTCCCCCCATGCCAGTGGAGTGCTGAGGCTAGCTGGAAAAGCACTTGAAGATGAGAAAGTGCCAAAAACCTGGTTTAGCCTTCCCACGTGCACGGTGGACTCCGACAGAGGCAGAATTCACAAGGACACGCTAAGTTACTGATATTTTTGAAGTCTAGCAAGGTTATTCCAGCGGTGGACTGTAACTTTTGCTTGGACCTCTTCCCAAGCCCAGGCAGACCATGTCTCCCACCCCATCTTCCAGCCTCCTGAGGGGCACTTGCATCACCCAGACACAGGTCCCACCAGAAAGCAGTGCCCAGTGCCTGCAGCCAACTCACTGTTGAACCCTGCCTAGCTGCTACCACAGCAACGTGCAAAGCAAGTGGCTTTCCAGGCTCACCACAAGGACCCTGTTTCTGGCACTCTTATCCATCAGTGCTTACCTTACCAATCTAAACAGTGTCCTCTCAACAGCTGTGTTTTCACTTGCTTGGGGTGGGAGGGGGAAAGGAGAATTTCCTAGGAGGGAAGCATTTTTAAATGAACTGCAGAACCACGTACATTTCCAACTCAGCTGCTTTCCCCCCAGAGCACAAACCCTAAACGCTGAGCACAGGCTGCCACCACTTACCCTCAAACTGACAAGAGCAGAGCTGGCTTTCCTGGTGGTGTGTGTGTGTGTGTGTGCATGTGCGAGTGAAGTTAGCAAAGGCCACTGCGACTGCTCCCAGCAAAGAGGTCCTCATTAGAAGTGAAAACAGGCAGTGAGCCTCTGCTGAAAGCCCTGAATAATTGAGTAGGGCATAAATGCAAACATTAGGCTTCCCTCTGTCATATTTCATTACTGTGAGGCACGTCAGGCTGCGTGCTCAGCTATGGCCGAGAAGGGCCTGTCTCCCTAGAACGTGGTCAGAGCTCGGTCGCACCGAGCCCCACCGAGCACACCAGCTGCTCCTGGCACGGGTCCCTCTGTCCTTCATCAGCTGACAGCCACTCGCCAGCACAGCAGCGTTCCTCTGCCCCACAGAAGAGCTGCAGGAGCTAGCGTGTGTGAGTACGGCAAGAGTAACGAGACCACTCGCTGCATGAAGTAGGGTCAGCAAAGCCAGAGTTATCAACAGCCCCAAAGGCGGATCGAAAGATGGGTCACAGGAGGCGAGGAACAAATACAAACATCTCCCGGGGCCTGCAGCAAAGTCCCTGTGGTGATGGCACCCTTGGTGACAAAGGGCAGAACATGGCAATGGTACAGAGACCGTCTGGGAGAGGGAAGAGGTGGCATCACAGGCAGGTGGCAGCGGGGAAGGGCGTGCAGAGCCTACTGGAGCCAGCAGGCCAGTCGGACGGGCACACCATTTGCTTTTTGCGGGACACGGCTTTTTACCAGCTGATGCTCTTCTCAATCCCCTCCCTGTGCGAGGGGCCGTACATTGGCACCAGCCCTTCAGGGTGGGAGAGCATCTCCCCTGCCCACTCACCGCCCACCTCTGCTCCCCCCACATGCCACCAGCCAGGCGGCACAACAGTAATTGGCCTGCCCTGGCCGGCCAGCAGCAGGTCCCACACAGCTCTGCCCTGCGCTACTGCCAGGGCTCGAAGGAAGCACGAACCCTGCTCGGGTTTGCCAGCTGCCCATTTGGCCAGCAACCCTGCTTCCCTGGCCTGGCTGAAATATTTATAACTACCTCACTGTGTGAGGTCTCAACTCCATTAAAACTCGGGAAAGTTTAGCATGATAAATTATTCAGTGGCAGCTTTATTTTTGGGCCAAGGCACACAAGGATGAGGAAGGAAGTCTCCTTAGGGGTGGAGAGCAGGGACGTTGTCAGGTTGAACCCTAACCTGCCAGGAAGAGCACATCTGCTAGTCCTGGCACAGTGCATACACAGAAACTTTTAAACTTTAAACACAGAACATTTCTTCCCCTCCTTCCAACCTGGGGATGTTGACCCAAACTGTTGGAGACTCCTTTGGTAGCATTTCCTGCCAAACCCACCACTTCTCAGACCTCCCTAAGAAGCCTCTCTCTGCCACTCAATCCACAGGCTAAAAGGGGACTCAATACTTCAGGATCCCCTTCAACACCACCAGCTGCAGACATCTGTGCTATGGGCACACCACGAAGCCCCAGCTGTGCTGGGTACTGAGAGATTCAGCCCCTCTCTGAAGGGCTTGCAACCTACAATAATTGAACACAAGGCAAAGGAGAAGCAAAGCACAAACAAAAGACATAAAGAAGCAAAATTATCTTTCCCGAGAAGATATAAAACTTAGCTGGGAACCAGGGAGGGACAATACCCAAGTAGGATGCTTTCCTGGGACAGAAAAATGCTTTAATGACTTCTTTTTCTCCTGACACACTCACAAGCACTTTTATCTTTCCCTTCTCACCATTGCTTACATCAGAGCCTTCAGAAACTATTTTTCAAACAATTATGACCCTGATCCCAGCTGCCTTGCTATGCATAGCCGAAGCCTTAAGGCCAGCCAGCAGCACCCACCGGCACCGCTGCAGGAAACGGCAGCGTTTCAGGAAACGGAACTGCTCTGGAGAGCTGGCAGCCGACAGCACCCAGAGCACTCCACCACTGCGCCAAGGGCTTGTACCGGCATGGCCCTCTCAAACCGGCAGCTCTGCAAGCTTCCCAGCCTGATCTCACACACCCCCGCCAACAGGCCAAGCTGAAAAGATGTTCTGCTCCCAGCCTATATCCTAAAGCCCTGGTCTACTTCATCAAAGAGACTAACAGCCTTCCAGCTTCTCTTTGCTTGTTCATCTCAAGGTCTGTTCTCCTTCTCCTTACCTGCAGAGCTTTCTCATCCAGCACTCGGTGTTTACTCTGAATCTTGTGTCTTGGCCATTTCTGTTTAGCTGGGTCTTCCGCACCAGCAAAAATTGAACTGTACTCCTGCAGTCGTTCAGGGGCTGGATACTTGGCACTGGAAAATACCTGTGGAGAGACAAGGAGGGACTGAAAAACCCCAACAACTAAGCAATCCTACACTACAGAAACACATGGAGTGCAGTAAGTGCACAATCTGTGATGGTGGTGGGAATGGACAGCCTTGGAGTCAACAGGCTCCTAAGGGTTACCTGCACGGACCCAATCATGCATGCGCTGTCACTTCAGAAAGTAAAAGTGCCAGAATTTCTCTCTATATGTAAGTACTAAGTCATAGGCTTCCACTTGCAGGAAGGGAATTTGAAACACTGTATTAAATGAAGGAAGAACAGGGAAAGAAGAATTTTCACCAGTTTTACATGGCTCAACAGGATTAAGATGCACTAAGGGGAGGCTCTCTAACAGCAGCTTTCATCCAAATAGCCAAAGCGTCTATGAGCCTGAAGTGAGAAGGTGTTGGGCTTAGCTCAGCCTGTGCCTTTTCTCTTTCTCAGGGAGAAGCTGGGGCAGCAACTTACATAGGCCTCATAAGGCCAGGAGCTGTGTGGCTCGTGGGTCTAAAAAATCACGAACTGGCCAAGTCAGGAAGGGGATTCTCATCACAACCCTGCTCAGCAGCAAGGCACAGAGAGGTGAGCCGGCAGCAGCTGCAGCAGCTGAGCACCTGTTCTTCCCCAGAGCTTATATCAGGAGTAAAGAGAGAACGTGGAAGGAAGAAGAGAGGCCATGCAGCCTTCACTGAAGTCACTACCTTAATAGCCTTCTTGCTGCCCTTTATCTTCTCAATCTTCGCTTGGGCAAGCGTGACTCTCTCACTGATTGCTTGAAGCTGTGCCCGGCTGGCCTCCACCCGCTGCGAGATCCTAGGAGGCAAGCACCTTTCTTAAGATGAAGAAACCAGAGCCAGAGGTTTTTTGGCAACAGCCAGCGCCCAGGCCCTCAGGGAAGGATGTGAGTCTTGGTGGACTGGATTGTTTCATAGGGCAAAATAGTGCTGGTTGAGATATGCTTGTCTTGGTCCCATTGAGAGTTTTATGCACTCTGACATGAAGGTAGGTCTAGTCCGTGACTCACAGCACAACATTCCCGCGGCTGTTTGAGGCACAGCACAGAAAGATGGAAAACTGCAGGTTTTTTGTGACACCAGAGTGCCACAAGCCCTATGCCTCTCTGCAGGTACTGCTGACAAGAAAGCCGCAGCCAGTTATCAACTGCCAACATATTTTTAATAAAAATGACTTGTTAAAAATGAAAGGCAACACATGCTAATGAGCAGAGTTCAGGACTCACAAGGCTTATCCTGTCCTCTACTATATGAGCAGTTTGTTGCATGACTTCTTCCATGTTGCTTTACAGCTTTGTGATTTGGTTTCAACATCAGTTAAACAACATTAGGCCCTCATTTGGAGCAATAAAGCATGCTAACTTGCGTAATTTTTGCATAACTAGATCAGCATCAAAATGCTTTGGGACTGAGGTGAAAACCGCTCTGTGGCAGCAGGTGATAGCGGTCACTGGTTAAGTACCTCTGCGTTCACCATGTAGACATATTCCTTTCCCACGAAGCTTATAGCGGACGCCTTGCAGCCAGGGGCACGACTGAAACTGCCAGCATGCTGTGCACAGTTGCTGCCATGCTGCAGGAACTGTCACACAGGCTCAACCAGAGGCTAGGAGGGACATCGGAACCAGGCATTAGCTACAGGTACTATGGAGTCACCTTCTCAGAAGAGACCTTCCTTCCCCATGCATAACTAGCAGGATCTCCCTAGCTTCAAGCTCAAAAGCTGAAAATTGTTCTGAATCTTCACCCCTCTAATGAAACCAGCGAAGAATATTTTTATGGCTATACAACCCATTAGGAGAGCTAGCACTCCACTTCAGCAATGTTTTGTAGCAGTAAGTTCTATCGGATCATTTTGTGCCTGTAAAAATCAATCTCAAGAATTGTCTTTAAATTTCACCAAAAGTCCCTCTGCTTTTGAGAGCTCCCATGCTTTTTTCCCCACTCTGTATAATTCCTTTTAATAACAAATCTGACATCAGCAGTGATCCATGATTCCCATTTTCAAACTCTACCAAACCTGTCTTTTCAAGTATTTTCACTCTGTACAGCACATTCCCTATTACAGTAGAGAAATGGACTCCACTAAAGCCCCCACATTGCAGGTAGTGAAAAAACACCAAGTACAAGCAGCCTATTCACCTTGTATCATTCTGAAAGACCCCCAGTTCTTTCTCTAAACAGCTTTAAGCGTTTCTGTTTGTTTATAGCCACGCTCCCCTCTTTCGGGAGGCATGAAAATCCTTCCTTATGCATATGGCAGGAGAGCACACAGCCTGTTTCTACTTTATTCTTTTTGGAGTGGGAGACGAGCAAAACTGAACCTCATGAGATTCTCCCTCTTGGAATTATTCTCCATTTCCCCATCCTTTTATTTTAAATACAGCCCAACAGCTTGTATTTTGTACCAACACCAAGTACAAATCTGTTCATGATTTTCTTCCCACAGCCTCCCTCTGTCTCAGTGGAGTAAGTCCACATCACTTACAAACTTGATAGGTTCTCAGAGTAGTTTCTGTTGTTCCTTTCAGCATGCATTTCCTAGCACCTGTCTGCAGCAAATTTCACGCGTCATAGAGCTGTCCCATTGCCTTGTTTTGTTAAAGTGTGAGATGCCTCTGAAGGACCTAAGTCTTCCCTAACTGCTCTCCCCAGCAAATCTTCCCACCTCACAGTTCACCTCTTTTCTAGATGTTTCATAATTGTATTGATTGACACTATTTCCAGCACTGCTCCTGGGGGCATCTGACTATTTTTACTTCTTGCAAAGCTGAAAAAAATCGGCCATTTATTTCCGCTTTGCCTCTCTCCCTCAAATCAATGATGCAATTTTCCCTCTCACTTGTGAGTAGATCCCCCTCCTAGAAGAGCTCAACAAAGCCTTCCCAAAGCTCCACATAAAAGCAAGGTATCAGTTGCCTTTTAGCCAGTACCCTGCTGACTCCCAGACACAATTCTCAGGGGCTGAGCAGGCACATGTTCCACTCCCAGAAGGAAATGTTAAGCAAATGGTTATGCAAGCTCAGGCAGGCCTGGAAACCAGTAACCAATCTCTTCCCTCCCGCTCCATGAATGCGAGTGGGTCTAGTGAGGCAGTCAAATGCTTCCCTTACTGCCTTTCCTGCCCCATGTTATCCCCGCTGCTTCACCAGGTACCACCTCTTCCTCTCCCTTACCGCACTGACTCTTTTGCTAGCCGTGAAGAAGCACAGGAGTTCCTGAGGAATCTCAGTTATCCTTACCTTTCACCCTTAACCACTTCCACATTTAACATTCATCCTCTAAGACACTTGGTTTAGGGAAGGAACGGTGCCACAACTCCTTTTATGCCTGCACCAAACACAGGCGGTGCATTGGCTATTACACAGTGCTGCTTGGTGCTAGAGTACTAACACCTCCCGTCGCGCATGGACAGCATCAGGGAAAGAAGAGAAAGCAAAGCACCTCTCAGCCCACAGCGCTGCACACATCTTTCTCATTTAAGGTCTGCTGGAACCTCTCTGAAAAAGAAGGCATTCCTAAAGACAGAGCGTGACTGGCAAGTACTGTGCCCTAGCTGCAACAGTAACGGTGCATCCAGAAGGGACAGAGGGAAGACATCTATAGCTTCATCCATCCCTACTGCTCACCAAATATATCCGAGAGTGATTACATTCACTGATGAAAGGACAGTATCAGGCAGACGGCCTGCTCCCAGCACAAGCCAGGGAATTTGTCCAGTGCCAGTTCATATGTTTCAAACCATCATGGCTCTTCCCAGAGGCAGCCTGTACATTCTCCCGTGATCTCCTGCTCTAGGGCTTGCCAGGCCAAATCCCACTGACCTTAGGAGATACGCCAAAAACCTTCACCTGAGGTGGTACAGATGCAGGCACACAACACAGAAGGAATACACACCAGTCTACAGAATTAATTTATTTGTTGCTGAGCAAGACAACCATGAAAAAAATTATTAAACCCCCTCAATCCAACTAATCCAAATTCCATCACATGTACAGGCTTCTAAAAGTACACGGCTGTTACGCATGTACAGTTCAAGATACAGTTGCATGAGTTAGAAGAAACAATATACCATACTGATACTGAAAAAATACATGGAAAAAAAACCCCTCATGTTCAAGCGTCCTTCAGCAACTTTAGTATTTCTGCTGTTGTGGAAACTGAACTTACTCCAAGGAGTCAACCTGGTGTTTGTAAAGAAAGGAAACATAAAGGGACAGAGAGTGCTTTTGCCAAGGATTTCAGGGGCAAAGTGTTTGAAACAAGGTGGCATTCAGACATCAACCTCCATTTAAGGAGGAGTGTGTTACTGAGTGGCGTTGGTTTGAAAGGCAGTTGCAATCAGGACAGGAGGGGTAAGTGTTAATAAAATGGCCCATTACTGCCCCTCAGAACCCTGCGCTCAGACAGCTAAAACCACCATCAGCATCTGAACCTGCCCCGCGCCTATTCTATTAGTCATCGCTGCGTTATTTTGCTCTCGGTGCTCATTTCTGCTTGAAAAACCCCTTTAGTTAGATTCAATGTGACTTTGGAGTTGCAAAGACGCAGGAGGCGTACAGCGACAGCCCCTCCCTTTGGGCAGCATGCATGCTTCGGGACAAGAGAGAAGGGGGCCTGCAGAAGGAAGGAGAATGCATCACCTGCCTTCAAATCCTGGGCACTGAGCCAAACCAACCTTCCCCTCCCAACGCTTTTCTCTGGGGAAGTAATACATGTGGCAGATTAAATCTATCTAGTGGATTATCTCTTAATCCATGCAGACTTTTATTTTTAATCTAAGCAGATATTAAAGCCAATCTTTCAGCTGCTCTGATGCAAGCTTTCACATTCTCTTGTCCCTCTGAAATCTTTTTGCAGTCAAGCCCCCTGCACCTCACCCCCAACTTAGATCTCATTTCTCCTTTCTCCTAAAGCCCTCAGCCTGCTGCCTTGAGCTGCCCTCCATTTTAGAGGCAACTCTCTCCAACACCCACAGCAGGTCCCAGGAATCCTTCCTCCCACCTCACCGCCTCCCTCGCTGGCCCCGTATCCTCTGTCCCCTCTGCAGTCGGGGAGCAGAGCACTTCCCATTACCTCCTTATAACTCCTCTGATAATCCTCACATTCAGCTAGCTACTGAAAGACCTCCTCTGCCGTGTCTGTGTCTGCTCATGGGGGGAAAACTACTGTTCTCTTACTCCCATAGGAAAAAGATTTGAGGCATTAGGAATTTGGCTTCCAGGATGTCAGTTGTCAGCACTGGCAATAATACCTTATTTCTATGAGGGTCTCCAAGCACTCCACAATGCCAAAAAAGAATTGTGATTTTTATCATCTATATTTGCTAGGGATCAGACAGCATCAGAAAAAAGTTTAAAATCAGAGCAGGTTTAAAGACAGGCTGACAGATTCCCAGAAAGGTGGCTGAGCAAGACAGAATTCAGCTGGAGGGAAGCATCACAGCAGAAGGAGACCCTTTGCTGTCCACGTACACATCGCCCAAAAGTGACAGGGATGACAAAACTTGGGAAGCGGGAGAGAAGAGAGGTGAGCTCCACACCAAGGTGAATGAGAAAGGCAAGGCAGCACAGGCTGGGAGCAAACCTCTCTAGAATACCAAAGAACTTCAATTTCATGTCTAAAGTACAAAAGTAAGCGATCAACCAAGGAGAAAGAACATTACAGAGCAGAATGAGAAATGAAGTTGCACAGGAGGATAAGGCAGCTGAAGTATTAAACGACTTTTTCCTTAAAGGAGGACTGTACACATCACAGCAAGTCAGGCTTCTGGTCTCCTCCCAGCCCAGACTCCAACCC